TGAACTGAGATACTGTTGCAGAGTCACCTAAGCCCTACTTGAGCTCATACAGAACTCGGGAGCTGAGACAGCCAGTTCAAGTTCTCTCAAGTTAGACACGGGAGCCAGCCCATTGTATATCGCTCCAGTTGCAAACTGTCCTAGGGAAGGGGACTGGGTCTTGGATGAGGCTTCCTTCCACCACTGACAATTCTTGGAGCATCATCTAAGAGCCCCAGCATCCCTAGCAACTGGAAGACTGCACGTCTGGTCATTATGAGGTGTCTGCAGGGAAGACCTCTATATCTATTGCTTACTTACTATATTATAGTGTTTGGTTTTTATTGTTTCTCACTCAACAGGTGTTTATAAAAAGTTAAAAAAAAAAAAATCTCTGAAGCTACATCAGCAGACAAGTCTGCCAGACCATGAGTCTTCAAGGGCAGGAACCATCTCTTTTGTTTGTCTGCCTGATATACAGAGTCACACAGTAAACACCTGCGACAGTAAAGACTTCTGACAGAAGTAAAATGGGCATGATGAGTAATACTACTCTCCCTACCAGGGCTCAAAATCATTGGAGAAATCTAAAGATCATGTGGGTGAGGGACAGAATGCTACATTAACTCGTGTTACTAAATACCATGGATTCTTTTTTGTAGGAAAGTCAGCAGTCTTTTATGCCTAGTCCTGAGTAGTACAGAAAACCAACAGGTGCCTCCAAGTGCAGGGAGAGACAAAGAAGAGCCATCTTCTCTGGAGTTCTAAGAAGAACTGAACACAATCCCTTATCTAGCCTCTTACGGTCCATGATCAGAGATGACTCACCCTCTTACCTTACAAAGGGCAGGGAAAAGCCAAGGACTACATAAGGATACACCAGAATCAAGAAAGCTTTTACTTCTAATCAATACAGGCCAGACTCAACACTGAGAGTGTCACACTACTGGATTCCAACAATCACTGTGGCCTGTTCCACCCAAGACTTTGCCATTTATCAGGGCCGATAAGCCCCACTGCCTGAGAATAAGCAAGCACGGGTAGGATCTACCAGCAACCTGGATTTCTTACCTAATACAAGAGCAAAACTGTAAAAAAAAAAAAAAATTAAGCAGAATTTGACAATATCAATAATTAAGGCTTAAATCCACAGGTAGCAAATTTGGAGCCTGGTGGTTACTATGGAAATAATTCTCCTCTAACATCCTGTCCTAAATATGAAGAACAGTTTCTGTGGGACGAGAATTAATGTCTGGAATGGTGCCAGTAGCCAAATGCCAGGCAATGTCACCTTGGTGGTAATAACAGTATAAATGCTCTTGACTGGGCTGCACAACTGAGAATTGGCAACCCTCAGATATGAATTAAACAGGAAGTATTTGGGCTGTGTGTCAGCCATCAGATCGCTCCCTAGCACTGTACCAGCCCAAGAGATGCAGGATGCAGTCCCATCAGAAAGAGAAAATTAAGCTTGTGCAGGTCCTCGTGCAGAGAGAGAAGGAAATACGGGTTCTAACCAGCCTTCCAAGCTGAGGAGAGTCCCAGGGTTTATCATCTTGGCGGCGGCTTCCCAGCTTAGAAGGGAGATCAGCCAAAGGCTTGGCTTCACACTTAGTGCAAGAGGCTGCTTCCCAGATTGCTGGCTTTAATGGCAAGCTAGTGTTTTTCCCTTCACAGAGGCAGGCATTCCCATACTTTGCATTACAGCTGGAAGAGGAACTTCCTAAATCTAAATTTTCCCCTTTGGCTCAAACTAAACCAAAGCCAGGACTATGAGAACTCCCAGTTTAAATGTCCCTGTTGGCATAAAGCTGTCTAGAGAAATATAGATAGAAAGACTACAGCCCGTGCCTTTGGGCTGTGGACAGAGAAAAAATGAGTATATTAATAATTTTGAAATTAAAATTAGTCACCTATTCCTGACCTTATGATAAGATATCATGTCACTGTCTTTCCTACGCCCATTGTTTCTTTCTAGAACCTTGGTTATAGTACTAATTCTTGTCGTAAATGAGCACCAAGACCTTGGAGTAAATTATTCCACATGTCTGGACTTCTCAGTTCCATCTCTGATAAGATCATCTTACAACAATTCAAGTAATTTTCTACCCTAAAATATTATGCCTGTGATAAAGGAATGTCTACTGCTATGCATATCGATGCTATGAAATAGTGAATAACTGAATGATTGACTGAACAGATGCATTAATAAATGGAGCCTTGGCCAGTTGAGAGGAATATCTCCCCTTCATATCTATTTGCAATAAAGTTTCTGCAAGAAAAAAAAAACAGCCTTAAAGCCCTAAGGCATCTACTCTATAAAATGAATCAACTTTGTCCATCTCTAGTAGTATTGTAGATGTACTAACTTTGAGAGAATCAAGAAGGCCACTCAAATAATGCTCTACATTCTGTAGTTGGATTGAGAAGGGCTATAGGGCTGTTGAATAGCCAACCAACTTCAGCAGCCGAAATTCATAAGGTCCTAGAATGTTCTAACACTCTCTGTTATCAAGTCCTGCTCATACTGTATAATCTGGAGACTGCCCCCCCCACAAGCCCTGCGATAGTATTACATCATCTATTATCTAGTATGACATCTAAACCACATCCTATGTTCAGTACAACTATTGTCTCTTCATGCTGCGTGTGACAAGCATGTGACAGGCATGTTAACAGGACAGTGACTCCACTTAACGATAACAAGTGTAAGTCAAGACCTCCATCTCAGATACTGCCAGAGGCTTCAGTCCAGCAGTACCAGCAACAAAACTGATGACGCGATTCCTATTTGACACCACTGTCCACTATCAGCTTCGTTACGGGGAATGGGGTGAAGAGGGGGAGGCATAAGGGTGGATGGAATCTGAGAAGTCAACCTGGAAATGTTTGCTAAAGGAGAAATGGCATACTGAAGAAAGCTCAAATTTTGGAGTCAGACAAATCTGGCTTCGAATCTTGTCCCATTATTAACTAGAAGTATGAATTTAACCAAATTAGAGCCTCAGATTTCTTACCTATTAAAAAAATAGACATGACATTTACCACATAGGGTTTTTGCCAGGGGCACATGAAATAATTTATTTCTCAGGCTTCCTGATATCTTTACAATGCAGAGAATTAATTAGTACCATATAATATTATAAAACTATAAAGAGCTGCAAATACCAACAGTTGTTGTTTTTGACCAGGTCTATTGGACTTAACCACATCTTATGGGTCAAATGGTACAAGGATAACTCAGGAGTCTATATATGATAGCACTCAGAGATGATTTGGATTCTTCTAGTACCAAAATCTCACTGAGAATTCTCACAATGGCTTCCTCTTTCACCAAACCTGGTGATTCAGCAATCATGAGTGTCATTATGACTAAAAGCACAAAGCAGTCTTTTGCTTCCTAGTAGCTCACAAAATTCCTTCCTAGTTTACTAATCTGAGATAGTCTCTTTTAAAAGAAAAAAGGTAGGTGGAACAAGTCCACTGGAGCTTAGAATTAGTTTCCTGCATGTCATTCCCAAATCAAGGCTTCAAGAAAGAACAGAATTGAACAACAGAATTCTCTGTCTCCGTACATGTTATCAGTCCCCAAAGGTATACACCAGGATACATATTATACATAAAAAGGCAAAAGAAATTTATCTAATTATGTCGTATCAAACAACGTGTTAATATTTTTAAATGTTAAAATACCTATGTTGTGTAGCTATTTCCTACTAATTGAATCATTGCTTCTTGGAAAGTAAACAAAATTCACAAGACTCAGGAAACAAGATTCACAAGTCTCCTCCTCTATGCTATATAAGAAATAATGACCATTGCACTGCCTGCAAGCTGCAAGCTGTGCATGGCGGTCCAGGGATGCAGTTTTCATAAGTCATCTCCCAGCTGGTATGGGCCTTTCCATGAGGACACCGCCTTCGAGTTGCCCATGCTCTTGTATGTAACTCCACTAAATGCACTGGTTCACTAATCTAGACCTGGGTAAGATCATACCTTTGGTCTGACATGTGTGTGCTCCTGGACTGAAGGAAGCAATATTTGTTCTCATGTTCCCAGAAAAATCACACTACAGCCTACTGTGTTCTAAGCTTTATACTGGCTTCTGCTGGGGAATCCCTTTTCCTCGTTTCTTTATGTGATACTATGACCCTTTCTCTGTAGACAGCTTTACAGACAAGACTGAGACACAGTGTGGAAGGTATGCACTATATATATATCCTACTCAGTCTGTTCTGGGCCTAGCACCCTGACTTCAACACTAAGTTGGGGTCCATCCAGTCCAAATAACCTTCTCTGTCCAACTTCAGAAGTTCAAGCTTTCACCTTGAACTGTATAAAGACAATGGCATAACCAGGTTAAGCTCCCTGTATCTATCAACTAAATTAGGTGCAACATTATGAACAGCTAATGAGTTTTAAAACAACACTGCAAATAAACTGGAGGAAAGCAAACCCTAAAATAATTAACAAAACTATCAGAGGTACAAGCCCTCATAACAAGTGTCTGAGATTATGGTTTCCATTCTAGCATCTGGGTTGCTGCAAGAGTTTCACATAATCTGAAGAGATACTTTAAAATTCCACCCCACCCCCAAAGTTCTTAGTCAACTTAATTAATAATCTTAGTAATCTTAATTAATAGATTAGTGATGTACATAGGCAGATAGATGCATAGATGGCAAATTATTGACAAATGGATATATAGGTAGGTATTATGATAGATGATATATAATATATACATACATATTCACCTGTTTACCCTCTTCATATAGGTAGATATGATAAATAGAAGATAGATAGATAGACAGTAGAGATAGATGATAGAGATTAGATAAACAGATATATGAATGAAAAGAGAGAAGGATTTCATAATCAAATAGCAATAAGCTACCACAGCTTTTAAAAGCTAGAATCTGTGTGCACTACATGCACACAAAATGTTATCAAGGCATCTCTCATGTAAATATTATGGTCATCTAACAACTGCTATCCACAAAGCAGCACTCCTTCTCACTTACCCAACTTAAATAGCACTTGCCCTCACTTCTGAGCAGTCAGCTCTCTGCAAGACGTATCATAGCAACATTCACCCAGAGAACTTCCAAGAGTGCCAAAGCATCCTTCCAGGAGGGTATGATTATGCTAGCAGCAAGATGAAACAGAAAGAGAAGCCGAGTTCAGTGGTCTAGAGACTAGATCTTAGAGACCCAGATCTGCCACAAACTGGGTGTAGCATGGACTGAATTCAATTAACAAAGGCACCTGAACATCTGCTGAGTGCCAAGCTCAGAGCCACTGGGCAAGGGACCAATCTCCAGTGTCTGACTGGGAACTCAGAAAGGTGCGTCTATAGAGAGATGGAAGCATGTGCTAAAATTAGCATCTCCCAGCAAAGACAAACCTTGAAGCTCTTGATTTTGGTCCTCATACCTACACCACCGCTGCGGGTCCTCCCACTGCTCCCTGAGAAAGGTCATGCTAGAAATCAATGAGGAGGGGCAGGAGGAGGGATGTGTGTGTGACAGGGGCCTGCTGAATCAGCTGGACTCTACCTAGCTCCAAGTCTGGGAGGAAACCTCCCCTCCTTTCTCCTCCGGAGAGGCATGCCCTCTGTGCCACTCTGTGGGCTGCGGAAAGCAATTAGCATTTTGCACACTCCAGCATACCGAACTGTGGGATTTCACTTGTCCCTTCAGCAAAACAGCCGGTGGAAGTGGAACAGATGTGAACGCAAAGGACAGTTACGTAATTTACCTAAGTCCCAGACCACCTGACTCCGCTAGTCTGCGGCTTCCCTTTCAACCTTTCCCAGGCAAGCTCACACAGCCTAGCAACTAATCACACACACGACATTTTGGCACCTGGGGATGCTCTCTTCACAGGCTGGAAGCTGTAGCATGGCTCCAAAGAAAATCCCTTTCACTTCCCATTGCCACAGGAAGGGGTCTGAGATGAAGAAATGGGATAAATTAGAACCAATAAGTCATTCTTTTATTTTATATCTCTGATCTAAATTTTGGCAGAGCCCTGTTCCTCGAGGGAGCAGGGACAAGCAGGAACTCACCAACTAAAGACTCTCAAGCTTTTCCAGTTTAATGGAACCTCCTTCAAGCTGAGTTGCTGGGAGGAAAGTGCTCAGCATTTCAGGGTTTCTCCTCCCTGGGTAAGAAGACAGCTTTCATCTCCTGGTGGCTGGTAACAAGACAATAGATGCATGACCTCCTAAGAGGCAAGGAGAGTCTTTCCTGAGAGGCAGGTGCATTTGGCAAGTCCTGGAACCTGGAGAGACCCTTCCCATCATTTGTGGGGAACAAGCTGGCACCCAGCCGAAAGCTGCCTTGAGCCAGGCCTCCTCTAACCCAGCAGCTAATGCAGGCTCCACATCTCCTCTGCTGAATTAAATTCCTCGGCTGTCATAACAAATTATCAAAAACTGTCTGGCTTTAAATAACAGAACTGCATTCTCTCACTGTTCTGGAAGCCAAAAGTCCAAAATATCAGCAGAGCCACACTCTCTTCCAAGGCTCTAGGGAACATTCCTTTCTTGACTCTTCCACCTTGGGAAAGTCCCTGGCTTTGAAGGCTTGGGACAACATTATTCCAGTGCCTGCACCCTCTTCACAAGGCCATCTCCCTGTGCTTCTGAGCTGCCAATCTTTTGGCTATCTTTAAAAAGATAGCATTGGCTGAAGGCCATATCAGTATCCGAGTTGGAGCCCAAACTCATGATAGACCTAAACTCAGGATGATTTCTTTTGGAAATAGATGCTCAATTACACCCATACAGACCCTATTTCTACATGATGTCACAGTCACAGGATTAGAGAGTTAGGACTTTGACATATCTGTTTGATAGCACAGTTAAACTCATTACATTCTCTAAGGGCCAGCTGGGAACTATCGGGCCCCTTATCTCTCTTCTTCTGTTCTTAGGCTGCCAAGTGCCAAGCATCCTGCCTGAACACATGGAAGAGGGGCACTGCCTTCCACTGTTTCTCCCCAATTGTTCAGGCACTAGGATGAGGCTGAACTTCCCTGTATCAACTGGGGAGCTTAGACAAGAGTCACTTCTCCTAAAAGATAACTGAAAACTTCTCTAGTGTGTCTAGCCAGCCTGCCACTGCCTTCTCTATTTTTCTTCAACCATCTTTCTTTCTGTCATTCAGATATGCAGACCGTCTATCTCACTTCCTTCAAAGTCGTGATGTGGACATGAAATGACCTCAAAATCAGAAATCTTGACATTGGGCTCCAATTCTGACACTGATATATCGTCAGATATCCACAGCTTCCATTCAAAACTTAAATGTCACACAGCAGCCATGAGAACAAGACCTGAACCCTCAGTCCCTTCAGTTAATGGCAAGGCTCTCTCTCTCTCTCTCTCTCTCTCTCTCTCTCTCTCTCTCTCTCTCTCTCTCTCTCTCTCTCTCTCTCCCAAGGAGGATTCCCCCACATAAACAATTCTCACATAGACACAGCTCTGTTTCTCCGTCTAAGATACAGATAGGACAGCCCCAAGTTCAACCCACAAACACCAACAATGAGATAGCCACCAGTGTCTTGGCCCACTTCCCATCTCAACCCTGTAAGCCATATACTGAGCAGTTTCATAGGGAACACTGGGCAAAACTCTAAGTTGATGCCAGCATCCTCTGAGGGTCATCCAGAATCAACCTCACCATTTTTACATGATGAATCATTGTGGCTCCTCATGAGTGCCATTGTCATATAGACAGACTTTCATGCTCCCTGTGCAACCTCCCTACATTTTATATCCTCCCATAGCCTGTTGTGGAATATTACTTTAACTATGTAAAGGTGTGTTGCATTTGTTTAACTATGTAAAGATGCATTGCATTTGTTTCACCTTGCCTGCCAAAGGCACCTGGTTGGTCTAATAAAAAGCTGATCAGCCAATAGCTAGGCAGTAGAGGGATAGGCAGGGCTGGTAGGCAGAGAGAATAAGTAGGAGGAGGAATCTAGGCTCAAGAGGAGAAGAGAACAAAGGAAAAAGAGAGGGAAATGCCCGGGGCCAGCCAGCCAGGCAGCTGCCGACCAACCAGACATAGAAGAAGCAGGAAAAGTAAAACATAAAGATGAAAAAAGGTAAAAAGCCCCGAGGCAAAATGTAGATGAAGAGAACAAGTTAAGTTATAAGAGCTAGTGGGGCAAGCATAAGATAAGGCCAAGCGTTCATAACTAATAATAAGTCTCTGTGTCATGACTTGGGGACTGGCAATCCAAGAAAGCCTGCAACAATAGCCTTTGCCCGGAGCCCTCTGGAGGCCAGGCTCTCACCAACAAGAATTTCTCTTCATCCTCACCTCTTCTCTGCACACCCCAGGCATGAGCTCCCTCTCCCTAAAGTGTAGGAAGTCTCTGTCCCACAGGACTCTCCAGCACAGCTTTCTTTTCCAAAACCCTTAAGCCTCGTAGTCCGAAGTGGGAAAAGAGATATTTGCTCCTCTATGTTTTTCCTTCCAGGCAATTTCTCCTTCTTGCCTCATTGTGAAACAAGCAATCTCATTTGGAGTTACTTCGTCCAACTTCATCATGACTCTCTTTTGGCTTCTCCTGACCCTAATCACTTCTTCATAGTTTGGAGAGGACTTCAACACCTGCTACCTCACCTCTCTCCAATTTCTCTTCTTACACTGGAAGAATTTAAGCTGTCAAACACTGATTGACCGTTTAGATCCTTTTATTCTTAACGCCAGTGACCTTTGATTTTCATCCTATTCCAGCTACCGAGTTACATGAAATAAATCAGCCGGTCTCCACCGAGTCAAGTCGGAAAGCCTGTAGTTACTGTTTGTTCTTCTATTCCATCAACCATCACCTATAGAAAATTGTTTCTGTTTACCAGGCATATGCCACCTATAATGGAAGAAGTCTCTGCCCATCAAGCCCTGCCTGGACCTTTTGGCCCATCCAGCAATAATATAAATCATTATTGCTTTAAGCCACCAAGTTTTTTGTGTGGTGTGTGTGTGTGTGTGTGTGTGTCTGTGTCTGTGTCTGTGTCTGTGTGTCTGTGTATCTGTGTGTGTCTGTGTGTGTGTGATGTATGGATGAACATATATGTGATGTATGTATATCTGTGCATGTTCACCTGTGTGTGTACACTGAAGATGGAAGTGGGCTTCACTTGTTTTCCTCTATTCTTCTCTGTGTTATTTCCTGAGACAGTCTCTCACTGACTATGCAGCTCTCTATAGTCGCGAGGTTAGGAAACCAGGGAGCCCTGGGAACCCACCTGTCTCTGCTGCCCACCCCAGAGCACTGGGGATTTCACACGAGGCTGTAGGTTTTCAACCTAGCTTTCTACGCGGCTGCTGAGAACCCAAACCCAAGTCCTCCTGCTTCTGCTGCGAGCACTTTACACACTGAACCGTCTCCTGAGTCTGTTGAACCATCAGGTTCTTGATTGCTCTGTTACCCAGCAATAGAGAGCTGAAGTAAGTTTTCAAAATGACTTGAAGGAAACATTACTCTGTTTGGATGTGATGACATTGAGGCTCAGTGAAATCTTAACTTGTTCAGACACGCAGAGCTATAGCAGATTCCAAGTGCCATCTAAGAAGGAGCTAAACTGATTTCAAGGGCAGCACCCCCATTCCTCCTACTTAGACACACAGGGTCCCACTCAGCTAAGAGGTTCTGATTAGTCTGGCCCTCATTCCAGGGCCTTTCCTTTGCTGGTTATTAAATATCTAAAATGTGGCCCTTGCCTGGAAGCACACGATAAGAAGCAGTAAGAATCATAATCACCTTGGGGGATGCTGAAGTCTTCCAAGTGTGGAGGAAACATCCCGCAGCTTTGCTTCTCTGGCCACCCCAACCTGGCTTGCTCTGAACGTAACAAGCACTTGAGGCAGAGCCGTGGAAGTGACAGCTGGCCCTCCCAGGTCTCCGTGGCATATCTGAGTCCAACCAGAGTCAGCTGGCAGCAGGCATGCCCCACAGGCCAAACAGAAAGCACACCAGCAGACACGCATTTCCTTTCCTCCTCTGTCCCCCACCGTTCTTTCACTTTGTCGTTTTTGCTGTCTGCTTTATTGCTTTTGGAAAGCCCCTTGGAGTATTATCCTGGAGTAAAATTTCCTCATTTAATTCAATGTCTTCCTCCTGGAAGAGAGTTTTATTTCCCGAGCTTGGTGCTGGACAGTCAAGGAGATGCTTTTATTTTTCTGAGGCTCCCTTGTGTCTCTGTGGTTAGAGGGGTAACAAATCCACAGCATGCTCTACCATTTACAGAGACTCTGCCTCGAGCCTGGAGGAGGGAAACAAAGTGATCCTGCGTGCATTTCAGCCCATGCATTCATAG